TAGTTAACATTGTCTACATATCTAAAACAAAGATACCGATGTTATTAATGTAATATATCTCAACACATTTTGAACACAAACAAACCGGGAGTGATCTTCCCTAAACTTTCTCGAATATTCTTATATAAAACAACAGAGGATGAGAACTCTGGATATAGTTATAATTTTTAATCCATTTTCAATACTTAAACTTTTTAAAATAGAATAGAATCTCATAGAAAAAAGAATTGCGCACCAAGCGAACGCCGAATAAAGTTGTTCATAATAGTGCGCAATATTATTAGTACTTTATTGTTTTGAGACATCGGAAGTAGTGTAAATTAGTACTTCCGGTCAACGGAAATTACTCAAAATTTAACAGAAGGTAAAGAATTAGATCTTTTAATATTACATGTGAAATTTCATTTCTCTATCTGAAATAGTACTCAAGTTATAGGCTTTTGAAAAATTCAAAGTAGAAAAAGTACCACTTCCGGTTATCGGAAATCGCTCAAAAGTTGATACGGATCTACAATTTTGATAAAATACTTAAATATTAAATTTCATCAACCAAGCTGTAACGGTACTCAAGTTATCGTGTTTACACACACACACACACACACAGACACACACACAGACATACGGACAAGATTGTAAAATTATGTTTGTCTGTATCTGTGAGGTGTAAAACGTCGAGATTTGCAAAAATCTCGATTTTTTTTATTTTTTTTTTTGCACGATTACAAGACTTTCTCTATACTTCGTATATACGAGAAAGTAAAAATGATGGAGTTGTCTAAAAACTGTCGATGTCTATTTTCGAAAAAAAACATGTGATCAAAACTGGTCATCTAAAAACACTAAAATACGACGTGTTTAAATACATTTTTTATACAATGGCTTTATTCAAGTTATTTATGGGAGTCGCTTTAAACAATTGAATATAAATAGGCAAAAAGATCATGAAAAATGCGATATGTAACTTCTCGTTCTTCGACAACGACAAGTATATAACATATATCTTATTTGTGATCGACTATACATGATTTATTTCTATGTCGTCGTGTCGTTATCTCCTGCACACAAGTGTTGCCAGGCTGGCAAACTTTCTACCGCCCCTACCCCCCCCCCCCCCCCCCCCCGCCCTCAACGCCCCCCCTCCCCCCCCCCCCTTTCCCGCCCAACGAAATATAATTTATATAGAGAATATATATTTATTTACATGTATCCTTCCCCCCCCCCTATCTCCCGGAACATTTTTGTCCGCCCCCCCCCCCAAAAAAAAATTAGAATACCCCAACCCCTCCTCCCCCACCCCCACCCCTGAGAAAAAAGTCTGAAAGAAACACTGCTGCCCAAGGTTTGTTGTGGGACAAAGTAGTTGTATCAATCAGTTCCGCAGGGTTTCTATGCGATTAATTCAGTATAGTCACGACATTAATTTATAAATTAAATGTGTAAGTAATGTATCAGTAACCACCATAATCTAATCAAGATGCGTAGCGAGAGGGGGGCGTGGGTGTGGACCGCACCGGATGACACCATTTGGGGGTGGGGGGGTAACACCAAGGCAAAAAATAGCAAAATATATGGAGAAAAATTTCAGGGAGGGGGGTGCAAATGGAAACTTTAAGGGTGCACATCGAAAATTGAAAGTTTGTCCCCGGGAAGGGGTGACACCATTAAGTGCCGCACCGGGTAACACCCGACCTCGCTAAGCCGCTGATCTAATCTATAACTCACACAATATATGATAAACTATATTTTTAAATATGTTTATACATTATAATGTACCGTCACGTTATTAAATGTGTTTATTCTTATTTCTGGTCTTGATGTGTCCATGTAATCCTTGTTATAGTCGCTCAGCTAACATTTTAAATATTAAATGGACTACATTATCATTTAAATCGCTCACACGCAAGCCATTAATTCTCACATTATTGATTTTATCAAATGCTGGTTGAACAAAACAGCACTTTACCCCACATCGACAAACCACTTTACAAGACAGTCCCGTTTCCTAATGTGTTGACAAATGATTCAACTACAAACCTTTTAACACGAATCACACTTTATCACACCATTAAATGCAGTAAAACATACCGACCACGGATATACCGCTGCAGATTTGGAGTAGTACTGTGTGCTAGAATTTCGTCAGTCTTCAACGTCTATTCTCATTACATTTCTGCATTTGTATAATATATATATATATATATATATATATATATATATATATATATATATATATATATATATATATATATATATATATATAATTTAAATATAAAAATGAATATTTATATAAATATAAATATATGTATATATATATATATATATATATATACATTTATTTATATGTATGTATGTATGTATATACATATATAGGTCAATTTATATTTATATATATATATATATATATATATATATATATATTATATATATATATATATATATATATATATATATATATATATATATATATATATATATATATATATATATATATATATATATATATATATATATATACATATCTAACAAAGCAGTTGGAGTTGATGCAATGGGCCATACAACGTTTCTTCCATCACTGATGATTCTGACCCTGCTCTCCGTCCAAGCAACCTCATCCCAAACAGCCGCAGCCGGGGTAGATGCCTACCTCCAGCTGTCGCAACTGGTCTACAGCTGTCCATCCGTCCAGTTCAAGATTCCACCGGTCAGTGATAGGAGTGTGTACATGACCTTTGAACCGGTGCAGATCATTTCGGTGAACGAGCTAAATCAGGTGGTGGTCATTTCGTTTCTTATAACCCTGCGCTGGGACTCACAAGAATGTAGATGGAACGCCTCGAACTATAACGGTAACCACGTCTTTATTATTTATTTAGATGCTGGCAGTGATTCTTCCATGCATCTCTTCGGGGGGACACCGAGTCTACCGTCCCCCCCCCCCCCCACACACACACACCGAGCGAAATGGAATTTATATAGAAAATATATACTTTATACAGTGTCCCCTCCCCTCCCTCCGGAAATTTTAGTCCGCCCCCCCCCCCCAGAAAATTTAACGTCCCCCACCCTCCTCCTCCCGGAGAAAAAAAAAGTCTGGAAGAAACACTGGATGCTGGATAATAAGATTAGTGTTGTTGAAAAATGCGTTTTAATAATTGATTAGAAGTGATAAAAGTGCAATATAATACAAAATGTGTATAAAATAAACGATTTTCTCTAAATATAACAATGAACTTCTATTAAAAAAAAACTAAAAATAAAAGCGCTCTTGAAGCAATACATAGAAACAAATAGCCACCATGTTTTTACTTTCTCGTTTATGCGAAGTATAGAGAAAGTCTTGTAATCGTGCAAAAAAAATCGATATTTTTACAAATCTCGACGTTTTTACACCTCACTGATACGGAAAAACATAATTTTGCAATCTTGTCCGTGTGTCTGTGTGTGTGTCTGTGTGTGTGTCTGTGTGTGTGTAAACACGATAACTTGAGTACCGTTACAGCTAGGTTGATTAAATTTCATAATATAAGCATTTTATCAAAATCGTAGATCCTTATCAACTTTTGAGCGATTTCCGATAACCGGGTATGGTACTTTTTCTACTTAGAAATTTTTAAAAGCCTATAACTTGAGTACTATTTCAGATAGATAAATGAAATTTTACATGTAAGTAAAAGATCTAATTCTCTACATTCTGTCATATTTTGAGTAATTTCCGTTGACCGGAAGTACTAATTTACGCTATTTCCGATTTCTAAAAAAAAAACGCATGTAAATGTATAAATGAACATCTTTATTTGGCGTTCACTTGGTGTGCAATTCTTTTTCTACGAGATTTTATTCTATTTTAAAAACTTTAAGTATTTAAAAAGGAGCTCCCATCCCCTGTTGTTTTATATAAGAACTATACATGCTGCCCAGCTTCGCTTATGCTTTCGAAAACATTGAGAATTTGAATGCTTAATTAATTCGCCCGAAGGTCGGTCTACGACCTCAGGAGTTATAAAGAGGTTCCTACGTGGACATATTTTTTCGATTTATAGCTCATATAAGGTGCCGGTCAGTCGAGGTCAGTTTTGACCCCCTCATCGTAGACTTTTCGGCCAACCGGCCCCCGTGTTCTGTCGCCCCAAGGCAATATCCTGCCAAATTTGAAGCGCCTGCGGCGCCGGGAAGTGCACCCGACAACTTTGCTTTATATATTATAGAGATTATCGAATTGCATAGATAAACAAAGATTTCAATAAAGTAATTAAGGCCTGAAATACTTTAGTATAGAAATGTATTATTTGAATACATTCTAGATCTAGGTAAGGTCTACATGTATGTAAGTCTGGTTTTTCCGTATATCTAGATCATCTAGATTTAGATCTAGAATCTCTAGATCTAGATGCTCTAGAATCTCTAGATCTAGATGATCTAGAATATCTAGATCTAGAATATTTAGATCTAGAATCCTAATAGAATTTTTTTTTTAAGTTTAGCCCGAGCAAAATTGTATGTTATAAATTTTATAGAGTACGTAGATCTAAATAATATTTTGAATGAAATAGTTCATTTTTTTTATTCTAAACACGGCAGATGACGTCATTAGTTAGTGTATAGACATTAGTGACGTCACAGTTTTATGCTTTCTTTTTCACAACTATAAACGCTTTTCCTGTTGCATAATTATAACTGTTTTTCTACATTCGAATACGCCTTAATTTTTTTTTCTTCTTTAAATAAAATTTTGGTTATACATTTAAAACATCTACCATATTATTTTCAATAAAAGTCCGAATCAAGTTTTTCATATATCGCTGCAGATTCTGACGTGATATCCGGCGAAAATATTTTGCGGACAGAGAGAGAGAGAGAAGTGCGCACATGGGCTATTATATATTAGGCTATTCAAGAAAGTTTAGGGGAGATCACTCCCGGTTTATTTATTAAATATGTTAGCAATGAATTTAGCTGTATTTAATTAGTTTTATAGCAACAATTATTGTTTTTATCTTTAGGTTTGAGCACGTTTGAGCTGGATATATCCAGTATATGGGTGCCATCAATCATTACACCTAAAGGTTCAGAGAATGGCCTTTTAAGTTTCCCAAATAAGGCTTTTGTGAGTACATATATTAGTTATTTAATTTACATTATATATATATATATATATATATATATATATATATATATATATATATATATATATGTATATATATATGTATATATATATATATATATATATGTATATATATATGTATATATATATATATATATATATATATATATATATATATATATATATATATATATATATATATATATATATACATATATATATATATATATATATATATATATATATATATATATATATATATATATATATATATATATATATATATATATATATATATATATACATGTACATATAGTGTTAATCCATTTATTAAGTAAAAATTAGAATTTTGTAGTAGGTTTGTCAATTATTAAATTTAGTGCCTTCCAGAAAATAATACGAGTCAAAATATATCTGTCGAAAATAAATGTTTTATATTTTAGAATGTTCGATAGAATGTTTGATAGAATGTCGATGCAAGTGTATAGCACATCCTTGTCTCATTTGTCAACAATTAGCCTAACCGTGATTTGATTAAATCTACTCAACACATAATCTCAACATTTTTATTTCTTTGAATTCGCCTGTATTGCAATTCAAAATGTAGAATTAAATATTTACAAACCCATTGAAAACTAAACGTAATTATCCTTAAGGTGAAATCATCCGGGCAGTTTTTGATCAACAATCCGGACAAAATGTCGACCAGCTGTTATTTGAACCTGGACCGTTATCCTTTCGATGTCCACAACTGCACCATACCCTTCGTCTTGATGGACTACGGCATCAACCCGCTGGTCGGCGAAGATGTCTACCACCAGCTTGAAAAGTTCTTCCACACCAGCGCGGAATGGCGGCTCCTGGGGTTTGGTTGTTTGGTGGTTGAGGTAAGTGGTGCAGTGTTTGTTGGTTCTGATGGTGGAGGTAAGTTGTGCAGTGTTTGTTGACTAAGTTGTTGAGGTAAGGGGTGCAGTGTTTGATGGTTCTGATGGTTGAGGTAAGGTGTGCAGTGTTTGTTGGTTCTGATGGTTGAGGTAAGGTGTGCAGTGTTTGTTGGTTCTGATGGTTGAGTAAGGTGTGCACCTATATTGCACACCCCACTATAACCACACCTCTATACTCCAGACCCCCATACATCTACCCCTATATTGCAGACCCCTAACTACAACTACACCACTATATTATACATCCCCAAATAAATATGCATCTCTTTATTCCATACTCCCCTACATCTACCACCGTATATTCCAGACCATCCATACATCTACCTCTATATTCCTACAACTACCCCTCTCCAAATTCCAGACCCACAACTACACCTCCCCCCTATATTCCAGACCCCCCACTACATCTACCCCCTATATCCCAGACCCCCAATTACAATTACACTGATCCCCTCACCCCTATATTCCAGACTCCCATAAGCTACCCCCTTATATTCCAGACCCCCAAATACAACTACATCGATCCCGCCTACCACTATATTCCAGACCCCACATACACCTACCCCCTCCCTATATTCCAGACCTCACATACACCTACCCCCTCCCTATATTCCAGACCTCACATACACCTACCCCCTCCCTATATTCCAGACCCACATACATCTACCCCCTATTGTCCAGACCACCATAATCCGCCCCCTATATTCCAGACCCCAATACATCAACGCCCCTATATTCCAGACCCCCAACTACAAATACCCCCCCCCCATATTTCAGACCCTCATACATCCACCCCCCTATATTCTAGACCCCCAACTACAACTACATCCACCCCCTATATTCCAGATCCCCATACATCAACCCCCCCCCCTATTTTCCAGACCCCCAACTACATGAACCCCCTTTATTTCAGATCCCCAACTTCATCTAACCCCCTATATTCCAGACCCCCATAACCTACCCCCCCCCTTTATTCAAGACCCCCAACTACAACTACATCGACCCCTCTAAATTCCAGACCCCCATAAATCCAACCCCCTATATTCCAGACCCCATACATCAACTCCCCTATATTCCAGACCCCCACTACAACTACACCTAACCCCTATATTTCAGACCTCTATACACCTAACAACTATATTTCAGACCCCCAACTACAACTACACCGACCCCCCAATATTCTAGACCCCTGCTACAACTACATCAACCCCACTATATTCCAGACCCCCAACTACACCGACCCCCCTATATTCCAGACCCCCAACTACACCGACCCCCCTATATTCCAGACCCCCAACTACACCGACCCCCCTATATTACAGACCCCCAACTACAACTACACCGACCCCCCTATATTCCAAACCCCCAACTACAACTACACCGACCCCCCTATATTCCAGACCCCCATACACCGACCGCCTTAATATTCCAGACCCCCACACATCTACCCCCCCCCCCCCCTATATTCCAGACCCCCAACTACACCGACCCCCCTATATTCCAGACCCCCAACTACAACTACACCGACCCCCTTATATTCCAGACCCCCAACTACACCGACCCCCCTATATTCCAGATCCCCATACATCAACCCCCCTATATTCCAGACCCCCAACTACACTGACCGCCCCCCTATATTCCAGACCCCCAACTACGCTGACCCCTCCCCCTATATTCCAGACCCCCAACTACACCGACCCCCCTATATTCCACACGCCCAACTACACCGACCCCCCTATATTCAAGACCCCCAACTACACCGACCCCCCTATATTCCAGACCCCCAACTACACTGACCCCCCTATATTCCAGACCCCCAACTACAACTACACCGACCCCCCTATATTCCAGACCCCCAACTACACCGACCCCCCTATATTCCAGACCCCCAACTACAACTACACTGAGTGCTGGTTCTCCATGGAGCGCCGCAGCATCTTCTACGTCGCCTCCCTCCTCGTCCCCGTCATCCTCATCTCCACCATGACCGACCTCGTCTTCTGCATCCCTGCTGAGTCGGGCGAGAAAATCTCTTACGTCATCTCCATCTTCCTCTCCATGACCGTCTTCGTCAACTTCCTAGTCGAGTTCGTACCCCGAAGCATGGGGAAACTACCCCGCATCATGCAGCTTATCACGGCTGTTATGGTGAAAATAGCTCTAATCGCCATGGCAACGATATTCGTTTTAAACGTGTATAAAAAGAAGAGAAATAAACAAATTAATAGGAAACAGTATACGAATTCAGTGATGAATGAAGCGAATCCATTGTTGTCTAGATCTGTGAATAGCTTGGAGAAAATGTCAGAGGCGTCTTATAAAAGTGGATCAAGTTCCAAACGATGTGGGAAGCAGACGGCGGTTTTAAATTGTGGTGCTCGAGAGCCTCATGAGACTTTGGATGTGTACTTTTTCGTGGTGTTTGTTTTGGTTGATGTTGCTATATACACGTTTGTACTGGTGTGAGTGAGATTTAGGCGACGTTTTTGTCGAAGGTTTGGTATCACATACATACATAAATTCAAACTAATACAATACAGGCACTATTATTCTATCTTTTCTTTCTGTCTGTTTTAAATACACATAAACACAAAAACCATAGATACAGAAGCACACAACACACGCACAATGACATGCACCAAATTTCACTCACACTCACAAACACACAAACAGATGAACAAACACAAGCACACGCACCTACTTTCTCACTTAAAATACACACAAAGGTAACAGAAAAGCCCACACACACAAGCACACACACACACCTATTCTCAACCACATACATAAACATAAACACAAACACACATAGCACACAACAGCATACAAGCTCACACACAACATACAAGCACATACACAAACACACACACACACTCCTTCACCCCTATTCACATAAACATAATGACACAAACACTCATAAGCATTCACACATACATATACAAGCATACATACAACATACAAGCTTAGACACACATAGACACACACAAACACACATCAGCATACAAACTCACGCACACACCAACATACTACTTCACCACATATTACTTCACCTCTACCCACACAAACACATATAAGCACATACACATCATGTATAAGATAAAAACAATTACAAACACAAAAGAAATAAATACATTTCCCACACAACCACATCCACAAACCACAAACGCCTCCCCTCCTCAATACGCCCATCTACTATCACTTACACACACACGTAACTAAAGCTCTTTATCTTAATTTAGCGTCAACAAAATCCATTTTAACCCATTATTCAATAGCAGTGGTTCTTAACTTTTTTTGAGGTACCGAACCCCTCCAGATTCATATAAGCATTCACCGACCCCTTCCTGAAGTTCTATCGTCAGCACTGACAAAATCTTATCGTGAATATGATTCGGTTGTGTGTCTTGACCTCCACTGAACCTTTGAGACTTACTCACCGAACCCCTGGGGTTCGATGATGCGTAGGTAAAGAACTACTGCTCTATAGCCATGTTTAGCTGGTACTAATGTGTTCATTATTTAATTACAATCTTAATGGCCTCACTGTTTAACTATTTTGATATTGATTAGCAAGAGTCGTTTTTTTTCACATTTTAAATAATCAATCATTTGTTTTCATTTATATTTTTCGCGTATCCATAGCAACTGCTATTGTATTGAACATTCAGTGTTACCACCCCTTTACTGGTAATCCAGCGCGTCGCACAACACATAAGACGAACAACCACAAACGGGTTACAAATTACAAGTCTAAATAAAACAAAGGCTCGTTAATACTTTAAAGAGTTTGTAACTGTCTACACAAACACATATCATTGTTACCAGCCAAGGGGGTAAATAATAAGTTGTAATTTATTGGGTTGCGTCCCCTGTGGGACCGCAACTGTTGATGTCATTTTTTTGCATGCTCTTCGGTGAGAGATTTTTACCTGTGTCCCATGTCATGTGACATGGGATTATGGGTAGTTCGTGCCTGTAGCCGTGTATGACAGACCCAAGGCTGCTGTGGACACGGAGGGTGATGTTGCCTATAAGTAGATCATGACAATGTAGACCTAATGAAGGTAATGTGGTAATATAAATTATTTTTATTATTAGAATACTTATTTGTGTATTCCTGCTGGTACTGCATGTTGCACATAGTTAGGTTAAGTATTTATTTATGTATTTATTATTGTACTACTTATTGGTACTTGTTGGCAGTATTGTGTATTGGCCGTAACATATTTTATTACATTCGTGTAATTGTGTAGCCTACACGTGGTATTTCCAGTGATGTAACCTATTGTTTACTTTTGTTTTAGGGCTACAGTTTTTTTTTGCTGTGTTCTACACTGTTTTTCTGTGTTCTACTGTTCTCTACTGTTCTACATCGCCGTTTATGGCTTGATGTTAATGTCAATAAAGCCAGTACTTGACAACACCAGCGTCGTTTCACTGTGTGCTTTTTCTCAGGGTCAGCCCTTTTAAACACAGCACCTCAGTGGGTAATAAGCATATCCATTGAGTGAGTGTTACACTAAATACCACCATGAACTAGAAAACGAAACTAAGATAAAGTGGCTATGGATCTAAAGTACTAACCTACACTAACCTTGTAGAAAATTTGGACTGAACACGTTCTCACACACCTTATATCCACGTAGACAAACATGTACAAACTGGGATATGATCATGTGACTGACATAACTCACTGCGCGAGGATTGCACAGTGACAGTGTACAAGGCACCAACAACAAAGAGGTTCAAGTAGGTGAAGTAATTGGGTATTATAATTAGGAGAGGCACTAAAATAGCTTGAGCTTACGTCAATCAAGTATTACTGACACTAGCTTGGATAGAACTACAAAAAGAGGTTCTCCGTGATCTCTTCGTCTCATGTCTTGATAGTAAAGTTCCTCTTTAGACTAAGGGCAGATGAAGTATAGTTCATATGTTTCTTGACCTCGACCTATGAAGGGATAGTGGGGTGAACACTATGCCAAGCCGTTTTACTGTCCCCCAACGTAAGTCAGGTATCCGTCGGAGCTGAGTTGACTCAGGGACGTCGTACAGTCACAAGTCTGAACCGAGATCCGAACTCGTGACCTTCGGGGTAGCAGCCAAACGCAATGTCCTGGTACACGTCATAATTTTCCTACACCCGAGGCAAAATTAGCCATACTATACCGGCACTGTTTCTTTCAGGCATATCTGTGACCTCACCCCCCCCTCCCCCGAGACACATTTAGCACCGCCAATCCCCTGAATGGAATAGAACGTATCTAGGAAATATATACTTTTATCAGTGACCTCCCGTTCCCGTAATATTTAGTCCGCCCCCCCCCCCCCTTCACCCACCTGCGAGAAAAAAAATTGAAAGAAACACTGTATACTTTACCAGTCTTGTATTGCTGTTACTAGTCAATAAAGATTTACCAACACGTATACGGTAATGCCGTATACCGTGTAGTGATGAACTGTTTACGTGGTTTCCTGCAGGGGAAGAGACTCCATATTTCATGTGATGGAGTTACCTGCCCATGATTTTACAACGCATATTTGCTATTGCAATCGAACAACTTCTACATCACTTCCATGGAATTATCTGATTCCTCACATATGTTGTTTTACTCTAAAACCAGGAGTGATTTCATCCTGCACAAAATGTAAGCTACTATAAAACTGAGAGTAATTTGATCCTTCACAAAATGTAAGTTACTGTAAAACGGAGACTATTTTGACCCCTCAAAAAATGTAAGTTACTGTAAAACTGAGTGATTTTAACCCTCACAAAATTCAAGTTACTGTAAAACCGAGAGTGATTTGACCATTCGGAAAATTCAAGTTACTGTAGAACTTGGATTGATCTGATCCCTCACAAAATTCAAATTACTGTAAAACTGCGTTTCAAAAACTTTGACACCCAGGTATTCGTCACGCGTATCGTTATAAATCTTCTCCTCCAAGCAGCCAATGGCAAGTCTTGTTGGCGAAAAGTTCTTTGGCTTGAGCCAGTCTCGGTAGATCACCTGTACATTGTTGAAAAAACAGGTTAGATGGTCTACGTTTGTGTATATGTGTGTGTATTTCGTACGTGTATCTGTATTGGAATTTTGTAATTGCATTGGCATGCATATATACATGTGTATAGACAACAGTATGAATATGAATATTTAATATGAGCATGTACATGAGCGTGTACATCTACCTTCAAATGTACATGTAGGCCTATGTATATAACTATTTCTATCAATACATGCAGTGAGGTGTTATTTGTTTTAATTCTTGCAGCCCCAAATCCCAGATTAAAATTTTCACGGTGCATTTTATTCCTTCGATATCAGATGATCATCCTTAGCTTGATGGAAATTCACGCGACATTTTTTTTTAAATCAAAGCACTAATGGGATGGAGTGGCCTAGTTCGAATCCGGGTTCAAGTCAGTATACCGTCCCTGAGTCATCCCAACATACACTTACGATGGGTACCTAACTCACGTTAGGGTATAGTGCTGACCACAGTATCTCTTCATATGCCGAGGTCACAGAAACAAGTGAACTATACTTCACTTGCACCATAGACCGTCAGGTTTGAAAGGGAACTCTACTTACTAAAAGGCCTAGAACCGCACCGTTCCTGTGAGACCCCCTGGAACTTATCCCACCCATGTAGGCCTATAATACCAGCGGGACATAAGGTTGAACTACCTGTAGACAGGATACAAATGTCCCGTGTAAATCTCCCTGCACACAGTTCCGGTGTGTTGTCCCAGATCTTGTACCTGGCCACAAACTCATGAACGTCATCGGGGTCACCTTCAGCAAACAAAAAACAAAATCTCAGATTTTTTAGCACGTTTAGACATAATAATCCTGGCATCCAATCCCCTGATGAGTTTATTTGCCAAACAGATTTTTATTTCTTAGAAAGAAGGTTAGTGGTGTTTAGTGTTATGTTTTTCTTTATAAAAAGGTAGGTAACTCTGCTTTAAAAAGTTGAATTTTTATTTTACTGGATTACGGGACTTTATAAATGCACGTCAAAGCATTTTTGTAAATTAGGAGCTAATACTGGCCTCCTATGAATTTATGTATCAATACATTTTTTTTAATTTGTAAAAGATTTAAAGATATTATGTAGTTGTTTTTTTTTTTTTAAATGATGTGTACATGTTTCTAAAAAAACTTAAAACAGATAACTCTGACAGAATAAGGTGACTTTTATTTTCCTGGATTACGTACCTTTGTACGTGCCCTGTAACCCAAGCTGTGGATTGTAATTGAGTGAAGAAAAGAAAGTCTCGTCAGGAATTTCCGTGCCTTTTGTCCAGTAGAGAAATATTTGAGCAGTCTCGTTGTGAAGTACAAAGTCTACATAATCCCTGCAACCATAAGGAATGGTAATAGCTTATTAATCGGTTTGACAATAGTAACGGTATAGCAGGGGATGGGGTAGGGGGGGGGGGGATCCATAAATGACTTTTCCCACTCCTGAGGGCTATATGACGATTGACGATGAGAAACTAGGGGAGAGTGTAAGAAGGTCAATATGAGCGAAGTCACAATTTTTTAAATGATTTTTAAACATCGTGTGTATATTGATTTTTTGTGATAGCCTATCATTTTGAAAAGACTTTTTTAAATTGTAGTTATCTTAATTAATATCAATTTAATTATACCAAATGTTTAAAAAACTTCACCACTCCACCACTCTACCACTCCATTACTCTACCATTCCACTAACCACTTAACCACTAACCACTAACCACTTAACCACTTAACCACTTAACCACTTAACCACTTAACCACTCCACCACTAAACCACTATATCACTCCACCAGTCCACCTCTCGACTAACCATTTAAACACTCCACCACTCCACTAACCATTTAACCCCCCCCCCCCACACACACACACACCACTCCACTAACCATTTAACCACTCCACCACTCCACTAACCATTTAACCACTCCACCACTTCCACTAACCATTTAACCACTCCACCACTCCACTAACCATTTAACCACTCCACCACTCCACTAACCATTTAACCACTCCACCACTCCACTAACCATTTAACCACTCCACCACTCCACTAACCATTTAACCACTCCACACCTCCACTAACCATTTAACCACTCCACCACTCCACTAACCATTTAACTACTCCACCACTTCTCTAACCATTTAACCACTCCACCACTTCACTGACCATTCAAACACTTCTCCACTCTACTAACCATTTTACCACTCCACTCCTGTTAGCCACTCATACACTAAGAATAATCATTTAAGCACTCCACCACTCCACTACTCCACCAATCCACCACTCCACCACTCCACTAACCATTGAACCATTTAACCATTTAACCACTCCACCACTCCACCACTCCACTACTCCACCAATCCACCACTCCACCACTCCACTAACCATTGAACCATTTAACCATTTAACCACTCCACCACTCCACCACTCCACCACTCAACCCCTCCGCCCCTCCACCACTCCACCACTCCACTAACCTGTTAGCGACTATGTGAACTGATCCCTTTACAACCCGCAACCCTAAAGGCGGCAATTTCTTTCTCCAACGCCTTGGCCGTGCACTGTCATCGATTCATATGCATAATTAATTAACATTATCATTCATAATTACCGAGAAGTAGTAAATTGGATGTTTACTAGTCAAACCATCATCCATATACAGGTCAGCCTATTACATATCTACTGAAATACCACTGGACATGTAAGCCAGCTTATGTTTAATGCGCAATCGGAAAAATGCGCAATCGGAAAAGTGCGCAAACAGAAAAATGCGCAAATTGAAACTAATGATACTAATATAATTTAATATTGTCGAATTTCGTGGAAATATGTTTTATTATGCTTCAATGTGTGTGGCCACTTTTAATTAATCTCTATAATTGCTAGATTTAAGAAAACAAAAATGCCCTTAAGCACTTTTTTGCTAGGCTTTCTGTTGCGGATTTTTGTGCCGTTGCGCATGTTTCCGATCACCATGTTTAATACACACAGTTGTCAAAGGCCGACACCTAGCTTAGTGTATACCATCGTACATATATGCCAACATAAATTTAAAAAGAATAAAAGTAATTAGTCCACAACTAAAATGATATACACTGTACAGCGACTATTGAGACCCGGCTATATTTTAATTAAGATATGTTAAAGATATGTTAAAGACAACATAAAGTTGGGTTTGGCGAAACTTGCCCTTGTGGCATGGCCCCGGAGAATACAGAGCATGTCCTTCAGGAATGCTCCTTGTACAACCAGACGCGATCCAATTACTGGCCCCTATACACCCCACTCTAGAAAAAACTATATGGGGCACCCGCTGATCTGGAGACCACAGTCGAGTTCATACACGAAGTTGGACTTGTTTAAATCCTTCGTCATAAATATAATTAAGAACGAAGAAGACTGTTTTACTGTAACATTAATCCTGTAAGCACCCTTTCGAGTTTTAAATTTTTGTATCTACTATTTTACTATTGTTCTGATGATAATGATGACCATGACTAACAAAAATCTTAAAACTTACTATTTTACTGTTCCGTTAATGCTATTCGCTCCGTTGAACGACTTCAAAATCTTGACTAACTCATAATTTGTTTTCAAAGGAAACTCCTGCCCTGTCAGATTAATAAAATATTTCCATTTCTTGTAGCTGAAGAGCTCTCTCATACAAACTAACTCGGGTTCCAGCACTGAGAAGGTCCCCCATTTGACTGAGAGTCTCTTTGTCGTTAGAAAAACATTAGTAAAGCACTTGGCAATTGCTGAGACAGCCAAATAAAACATTCTTGGTGAATTAGCATCCACGTGTATACAGTAATAGTTCTGTGGTCTGTATATAGCTCTAAGAAGCCGCTCCACCATTTCAGTATCTTTGTATACAATCAACGCGTACGCTATTGGGAACTCTTCTTCTTCCGAAGTCAGCGAAGACGTTATAAAACCACGGCGACGATAAAAATGTTCACAGTTTGTTGTTATGTTTAAATAAGACTCATCGGTAATTCCCGAAGTTGTGTTGACTTTCGTTTGCGCAACTTGGTTCAGATATTCTGTGTCGTTGTTGAGTAATCTCGAGCAGTCGAAGGATGAGACTTTGACTGTGTTTGCTGATTGTTGGAGAAGTTGGGTGACGTGTTGCCGTGACCACGATCTACGGTCAGATGTAAACAGAACCTCCTCGAAGGATGCGTTTCTTGGGGGATTTTTTATTAGTGGCATGAGCCAATTGTACGTGCACAAGAGGGATAGTGTCACAATACAACATGCTACTAGACACTTGGTGATGGAATTCTTGGAGCAAATCAAGTGCATTTTTTTACAATCTTCTTCTAAATTCCCCTGTGGTAAAAAGAAAAATACTAAGGTTTTCAAATGTTGAACATTATAAACAGGCGTAGCTACGGAGTTTCGGGTGGGCTGACTCTCGGGGTAGGCTAACGGTGTAGAAAAAAAAATTTAAAAACTCAGTAATGGCTATATTACTGAATCATACACAGTTGAAGTTAAATAATATACTTGGCTTTATGGACTTATTTACCTATTTTCCACGTTAATTTTGTGATGTTAAAATAAAAATTTTCAAGGAACACTAACCTTTTCAAATAGTGTGGGGTGGGGCGCTTTTTCAACAACGTGAATAACTACATAAGAATATTGGGGTGGTGCGAATTTGATAGTTCCCGCGGGCGCCGGAATTAGTCGCTGCAGCTATGGAATTTAAAAAATGCTAACTACTCCTGTAGTAAATAGATTAGAAAGTCGTGAGATTATAAAAGTAATTTTCAATGTTGTTTTTGTTTTTCTTTTAACGTATTTTTTCGTAAATAATTGAATAATGGAAGCTTATTTTTTTTAAAAGGGTTGGTAATTATGCTAATAGTAAATTACCAACAAACAATACTTGCTAAAACTGACGCAAGCCCTATCCCTAACCCAAAACTTCAACGAACCCTTCTATCGACATAAACCTAACACAAGCCGTAGCGCTAATACTATTTTCACAATACTAAACACAACTTAACCCTTAACATATCCCACCTGTTGCCAGACAAATATGAAAAAACAAGTTAATAAAAAGTCTAGTGACAATTTAAGCGCAATTTCCTTAATTAATTTTTGTGACCGAATGAAAAAATATTTTTGAAAACTTTCTTCGGCAATATTGTTCTAAATTATAGCAGAAATCGATTGGTAAATGTTTCAAGTCGCTAAGTGGTCTGGTTGCCGAGATATGTGCCAAAAACTGCATTTTTTCGAGGTTTTTTGGCTTTTCCGGGAAATCCAGGAAGGAATTCCGGGAATTTTTTTGACCCACAATCATCCTCGGAACTTGCTTAACATATTTGCTTTGGAACTAGTCCTCGATAATGCTTCGTTGAGGAGGAGACTTAAAGCTGCGGACACACATCGGACACACATCCATCCTTGACGAGTTAATAATCGCAATTGTCCGTATGGAAATTGCGCTAAAAATTCTGGTTTGGGGTCGACTTAGGGGTTGGTTTTATGTTGAATAATGTCTCATCAACATTCTAAAAATCAGGGACGGAGTGGCCTAGAGAGCTGTACTGCTAACCCGTAAGTCTCGTGTTCGAATCCGGGTTCAAGTCAATAGACCGTTCCTGAGTCTACCCAACTCTAATGGGTACCTAACTCACGTTAGGGAAAGTAAAGGCGGCTGGGCATAGTGTTGACCACACTATCTCTTCATATGCCGAGGTCACAGAAACAAGTGAACTCTACTTCACTTGCCCCGAATACCGTCAGGTTTAAAAGGGAAACTTCACTTTTATTATAAAAATCTCTTTTTGTTAAAATCCATTTTAAGCGTCATTCATGATAAATACGCATGTATTAGAAAATACGTAAACGGAAATTCACGTAGTAGCCTATTCAAGGTAAAGCCAAATACTTACCAGAGTTGACGAAACTTAAATAGACATGCTGCGCTGAGACAGTTAATGTAATGATTAAATGACTACGGGTGAAGATCATGTAAGTGCTAATATGATCGGCCCAAAAGCTACAGGCCCAATGTCACACCACTTCAATCAAGTTCCTTAACTCTTGTGTAACACAGCTCTCGTAAAGAAATAAAAGAAAAAAACACCAACACGATTTCGCTCCCTTGATTAGGTAATGTTATCGTATTATTAAGCTTAATTAATCAATTATCGCATTAAGCCATTTATAATAAGCATGTAAATAATAAAGATTATTAGCCATTCCTCTGAATTCTTTTTGTTAAAATATTTAGAGGTACTTTTATATCATAAATGACGTCACTCACAGGGGGGAGAAGGGGGGGGGGGCGAGGAGGAGAGGAAGGTACTGTTCAGATAGTGTGACGTCACACGTATGCATATTTTTTTTAAAGTAATGTTAGAAACTGAATTGGAGTCGTTCTTTTACGTTTTGAAAAAAAAAACTTTTTTTTTAATAAATTGAAAGTTGATAAAATAGGGGCCTACCTAACGTAAACCGATCTCATTCAATATTTTAGAATTGTGTTAAAAAAAATTAATTAAACTTTGATAGACCATAAACTGACGCAGCTTGCGATTATCAACGTTAAGATTACGATTAAAATGTAGATTTGTAGATTAAGTTGACGTTTTAAAAAAAAATTAAAAACCCTTTAGACAGAAGCGTTTAAATTAATAGCATTTAAGAAATTACCATTATCATGAGAAGCTGATTCCTTTAAAAAAAAAACAATTCCATTATATACGGGCTTTAAAAATTACCTTTTTAGCCCATAAAGTAGATGAAGTAGAGTTCATCTTTTTTCTCAGATCTTGATCTGTATAGTCAACATTTTTTGGATAGATTATTTAAAACCTAACCGTTTAATTTGGTCGGTAAATTGTCCAATATACCTGGCTAAACTTAGATATCGCCTTAATCTTAAGATAACATGTTTAACTTTATACAGTGTAACTCGACACAAAAAAGTCATAAAATTCCACTGATGTGTTATTGCCCTTTCTATATATTGACAGCTTGAATGACATTCAAGTGCACATAACTCGAAGAGTTGGGTGACATAAACATGTGTGGCTTACCTCCCTTACCTTAGAGATTTCGGAATGGCTGTACATTAAATTCAACAGTTGATTTTTTTTTCAAATTAAAAGTGAATAACAATTAAAAATTGGGGGCGGGTGGGGGGAGTAGATATAGTGTTATCTTTAGTTAGCTCCATGTTTGACATTGTTATCTAGACGATTAAGCTAATCTCCTGAACATGCGTTTGATTTTTTAACAGTAAAGATAGTCGTAATAGACTATGTGAAATATCTCCATTTTCCTATCACTGCCCCCCCTCCCTATCTCTCTCTCTCTCTCTCTCTCTCTCTCTCGCTATCATAATATATGTATATATAGGGCCTATATAGATAGGGTCCATATATATATATAGATAGATATATATATAGATAGATATATATATATAGATATATATATATATATATATATATATATATATATATATATATATATATATATTTATTTATTTTTTATATATATATATATATATATATATATATATATATATATATATATATATATATTCATATATATATATATATATATATATATATATATATATATATATATATATATATATATATATAGTAGGGTTGTTTTTTAACATGCAATACGAAATAAGGAAAGACTGGTTTCAAAGAATGTTATTTAATCATTAGTTAGAGGTAGCCCATTGATAACTTTAAGCTTGTTCTTAATTTTACCACCCCTTCCATCGTCAAGCATTGTCTAACTCCCCCCCCCCCCCCCAGTAGACATCAGCTTCTTCAAACTGCCTAACGCCCTCTCAATAGTATGTTTGGTTCTTCTATAGCTCTAACTAAGCTAAAACCATATCACCACACGGTACGATGTGGTGAAGTGACTACGATTACTCACCTGTATGTTCCTTTTACCTGGGCCTAGAGACACCGTCCATGAGTTCACTAAACTGCTCTGAGGTTCTACAAGCAAATATAAACATTGCTCTGAACATTTAATTACCGTTTAAAATAAATCTGTTTTATGTTTTATATAGTTTTTTTTTACATAACTCATTTGTAAAGAGCACCCTGCAAAAGGGACAGGATGGCACACGGCATTCGATGACTAAACCAAAATCAGGTTGTCTGAATGTCTGTCTGTCCGTCTGTCCGTCTGTCCGTCTGTCCGTCTGTCCGTCTGTCCGTCTGTCCGTCTGTCCGTCAGTCCGTCTGTCCTTCTGTTCCTCTATTTGTCCGTACTTCTATCCGACTGTCCGTCTGTCGTTCTGTCCGTCCGACTGTCCATTTGTCGGTCTATCCTTCTGTCGGTCTGTCGGTTTTTCGGTCTGTCGGTCTGTCGGTCTGTCTGTTTGTCCGTCAGTCCGTCTGTCCTTCTGTTCCTCTGTTCTCTGTACGTCTATCCGTCTGTCCGTCTGTCCGTCTGTCGCTCTGTCCGTCTATCCATCTGTCGGTCTGTCCGTCTCTCGGTCTGTACGTCCGTCCATCTGTCCGTCTGTCCCTCTGTCTGTCTGTCGGTTTGTCCTTCTGTCGGTCTGTCCGTCTGTCGCTCTGTCCGTCTGTCCATCTGTCGGTCTGTCCGTCTCTCGGTCTGTACGTCCGTCCATCTGTCCGTCTGTCCCCCGTCCCCCCCCCCCCCCCCCGTCCGTCCGTCTGTCCGACTGTCCGTCTGTCTGTCCGCTAGATTATTTTACAACACTTTCAAATATAGGGACAACCAACCTAGCACTCTATAAATCAAGAGTTATCCGCCTTGCTACAGAGTGAAATCAAGGGAAGTAGCTAGCTTTTACCGACGTGATACAATAGTTTGTGAGACAATAAAATCTGATAGAAGAGACAGCTTGTCACAAGTACCAGGAGACTATGGGTAACTAAAATGTTTAGTGAATTTCATGGGGAAAAAATGTGTGTGAGGCAGTGGCGTAGCGAGGTCGGGTGTCACCCGGTGCGGCACTTAATGGTGTCACCCCCCAAGAGGCATAGAGACCCTTCCCAGGGACAAACTTTCAAATTTTCGATTTGCACCCCCCCCTCAAGCTTTCGATTTGCACCCCCCCCCCTCAAGCTTTCGATTTGCACCCCCCTCAAGTTTTCGATTTGCACCCCCCCCCCCCCTCAAGCTTTCGATTTGCACCCCTCCCCCCTCAAACTTTTGATTTGCACCCCACCCCCCTCAAGTTTTCGATTTGCACCCCCCCCCTCAAACTTTCGATTTGCACCCCCCCCCCCCTCCAGTTTTTCTCTATATATTTTGCTATTTTTTGCCTTGGTGTCACCCCCCTAAATGGTGTCACCCGGTGCGGTCCGCACCACCGCCCCCCCCCCTCGCTACGCCCCTGGTGTGAGGTATAAAGCTTTAAAGGCAATAATAATCACCTAGATATTAGTAAAGTTGTTAGAGCAATATTGATTAAACGTGTTTTATAAAGAGTAAAGGGAAACATATGGTTCGTTGTTTGGTAGCCGTGCCCGATACTTCGCCGTGTGTATGCTAAGCTTGACGTTTCATGTTTCAATAAAAGTGTCTGATTTGACTAATGTATTCGTTATGCCTACTGTCCTGTGTATTGCGTATATATATATATATATATATATATATATATATATATATATATATATATATATATATATATATATATACATATATATGTGTGTTTGTGAGTGCGTGCGTGTGTGTGTGTATTATATAAAAAAATATACATATATAATATTCTATGCGTATGGCTTTTCATGCAGACACCAACACACACACACACATACACACACACACACATATATATATATATATATATATATATATATATATATATATATATATATATATATATATATATGTTCTTAATCGACTCACATTTCACTCTTTATCATACCTTTTTTGTTGGTTTATTGAATCGTGTGTACGTATCATCCTTTTGAGTTTTACTAGAAAGAGCAAAGTTAATAGTGTTTGTGTGATAATGGAATACGAGGAAAATGGTATCAAATCACATGTCAGTGATAGTCTAATCTTGAGGTAACGGAACCAAATCCATTCATGGATCTCACTTTGGCTTTTATGACTTGAGAGATGAAATACAGTAGTTCATATCGAAAGAGGACAGCTAATTATAACACAGACTATGTGTTTATATACAAGAACATAATTTTGTAGATCAACATTATAAATGGATGTATGCAAATGTGTGTATGAACGTATGAACGTTTGACCGTATGAATGTATGTATGTGTAACTGGTCTTTTTTTCCATTGTGCCTTGGTAATGACTACTTCTACATGAAGTTTATACATCCAGGGGCGGAACTACAGTGCCGCCAGACCCCGCAACGCGGGGGGGGGGGGCACGCCATTTAGGGGCCCAGAGCCGACCATAATAAATTTTTTATAGTTAAAAAAAGTAAATTTTCTTTCATTTTTGACTTGATGGTTGTTTTGTAAAAAATAACCGTAGCTGCGGTTGGATTATCTTTATTCTATAGACACCACCCCACGCTCTTGTTTCTTCTTTTTCCCTTTGTTTTTAAACAACTTTGCAAGCCGAGTCTTTCTCCTACAATTAAACTTATCAAAGATAAGCAAATGTTCAAACAACTTCCATGACTTATTTCCCTTTTTAAAAAAATAGTCAAATAGGGGTGATCATAAGCTCCTTTTAATAGATTTGTACTAAACAAATTAAAAAGCAATAACATTTCTTATATTATTATTTTTTATAAGTAATTACTAAAGAATGATATTTTATAAAAGGGGAAATGTATTGAAATGTATTAAATCAATAATATTTTAAACATTAATAATATAACTACAAGAAAAAACATAAAAATAAACATAACACGAGACACCATTACTTATACAAAGCTTTCATATTTTATATTATTTTGACCGACCGGATGATAAAAGGGCTACTATCAAAAATAATTAAAACTGATTTTCACAAAATACTGGCAAATTTGCGGAGTTATGATTTTAAAGCAAATCCGCCGTGGCATGTGTT